GGGAAAAACTATGGGAGAAAGTATTTGCAACAAGTATGAGGGACTCAAATCACTGAACGATAGAAAAAGTTCAAAAATTATAGAAAAGAGGGATAAGTAATTTCAATGCTTATGTATTTGTGTATTTATATAGTTTTAATAATTATTTGTGTGTCTACACACATGTAAATTTTTCTTAAACATGAAGCGATTTTTTTGTTTTGCACATAATTTAATAAAAGCAAGTTAAAATAACACCAAAAAAAACCCCAATTCTCACCTATCAGATAGGTGATAATTAAAAATACTTTGGAGCAGAGAAGATAGTTTAAACTGTCAGAATCTCACAGTCAACTGATTATCTAGTCATAGAAATTGGTCTCGGGTCCTTGAATACAGCTGGGGAGACCCTCCCACCCAATACACACACACACACACACACACACACACACACATATACATATATATAATTGGTCAGGGTATGGGGCACTCTCCTGCTTTGTTGATGAAATACAATCCTGCACAACAATTCAAAAGGGGAATTTGACTATGCCTAAATAAAGTACAAGTGCATTTGCTTCTGATCCACTATTCCACCTGTAGAAATACAAAAGACACATTTCAAAGAATACGAAAGAACAAAGCAACATTGTTTTTGTTTTGTTTGTTTGCACTGGATTTTGTAAATGCAAAATACTGAACTAGTCTCATTCTCTGAGAAGGAGTGAAATTCATGGTAGAATCATAAATGAGTGATATTCAGTGGAAAGTAGATGAATGTACACTGTGGTACTGGACAATTGTTAAGAAAAAAAGAGGAGGGGGAGAAAGATGGCTTTGAACCAACTGGGTATGACTTCCAGGATGTAGTGCTAAACATACTACAGCAAATTATACAAGGGATGTTACAGAGTGAATTCTTGTTAGGAGTAGCCCTTTTGGGGGGGGGTGAGGAACCTGTGGGGACGGGGACTCATGATAGCAAAAAAAAAAAAAATGAACACCACCAGTCTCTAAAATATGACCATAAGATCCACATAATAGATTATGACACTGAAATATCCGAAACAAAATTTCTCCTTTTTAAGCTGGAAAATGTACGCAGTAAAAAATTAAACTGTCTTTTCCCTAGAGGATTGAATACTCTTGGAAAGTTCTAATATGGAGGCTGTTTTCTTTGCATTCTGAATGCTTTTAAAGTTTGTTATGTGTAAGATGACCCCGTGTCCTAGTCTACCTGGAATATGTGGTTTATTCATCCAGTAATGTTCCTTTTATTTTAAGTGTCCTGATTTCAATGATAGATTATATGATTATCTTTTCCTTAGGCAATGGGCACTCAGAAAACACCTATTAAATTGAATGGTATAACTTAAACTTTTTAGAAACAAGGTTATGAATAAGTATTAATCAAAGAACCAGGGAGAAAATAAAAGAAGAGGCACTTTATTAACTAATCTTAATGCTCTAAAGAAAAGAACTTTTGGTCAAGAGAAATAGAGGGTGTAAAGTATTTCTTTGCACATGGCAAACCCTGATTCAATCCCTGACACCACATATCATGTGTCAAATCCCACCCCCCATAAATAAAAAGAAAAGGCCATTATACTGAAAACTCAGATGATTTATGTAACCCCCAAATAGGTTTTATCATTTGTAAGTTGGAAATAATAACTGCTTATATGCCTCATAGAATTATTTTGAGGATCTGACGAGATATAAGTGTATGTTTAAAATAGAAAAGGACACTATACATAAAATTGCCCAGTTAGTTTTGTTAATTTGTTTCTGCTTATTTTCCCAATTTTCCTTTCTCCTCTTAAGAGTTAAACTGGGGATAAAAACAGCAAAGGTGGAGGACAAGGGTTTGTGTACATGGTACAATCATGTGGCTTTGAAATACACCAAATTTTAGTGAGAAAACCTAAATTCAAACTTTCCTATGCTATTCACTAGTTTTGTGGTTTAAGATGATAAATAATTTCTGTGGTTGTTTTCTGTGAAATAGAGACAACTAGAGAAAACGGAACACCATTTTAAAAAAATTCACTGATATTTTTCTGAAGAATTCACTTTAAAACTGTAATCAGGCACTCTGAAAATTAGGTTACATAGATGCATGTTGCATGAAAGGAGATTTTCAGAGTTCTGCATGATCTGCCCACATGGAATCACTCATTTTGAGCCAAGGAAGTGCTTAGACATAGGTGTAACTTCGACCTTCTATGTTTTAGCAGCCTCCACTACAGACAGCAGTCAGAAGCAAAACAGCTACCAAAAGACCTTGATAAATTACTTTGCAACAAGAAATAGTACTCATGTGACCTACTTTGTCATATAAAGGGAAAACAGAAAAAAGTATGCACTTATCCACTCTTGTGCAAACAAAAAAAGGTACTGCCAGGATTAGTTAAGAAAAGCAGGAGCTGGAGCCTGGGAAGAATGGGAAGTGGGAGTAAAATTAGGGTTATTTCTTTAAAAATTTCTGTGCAGTGTTTTTTTTTGGGGGGGGGCACACGCGGTGGTGCTCAGGTCTTAGTCCTGGCTCTGTGCTCAGGTATCACTCCTGGAGGGTCTCTTTGGGAACCATATGGGAGGCTGGGGATCTATCTCTCTTGGTACTATACATCTAGCCCCTTCTGGTACAATTTGACTTAGAACTATATAATACATCACATGCTTAAATATGATTAACTATAATGCTCAATGAGTCTCCAACAACAACAACAAAAGAGACCGTGGCAAAGCAGAAGGACCTTCTTTCTTCACAGGCTCTCTTCCCACCGAGGCTAACCCTGTGCCATCAAAGTGGATTCATTTGCCCCACACGTATCTGCCACAGAGTTCCGTGTTGGTGGCTCCTACCAACCTGGTGAAGAATCTGCAACCTCACACCTGAGCCCAGCCCCTAGGTAACTTTGCGGGCCAGCTGCTGGCTAGGAGACCCTAGCAAGCATGCAGTTCCCACACTCTCACTCCCCAAGGGTCAGCAAGTAGGGAAGACTTACCTGCTATGTACTAAGACGCTAAAAAGATCCTTAGATTCTTTAGGCAAAGTCTGAAATACAGACGGAGAAAATGTTTGTTTATTAGGAATAGAAAGAGATTCCATTGCTATTGTCCAAGGTACACACTGCATGAAAAGAATTGTCTTTAATGCTAGAACACACCAAGACAAAAAGAGTCTATACTTCTCATTTCTTCTGTATCTCAGAGTTTAGGGGTTAAAAATCTGTTTGTGAACCTACTGATGATATATTCTGTGATCCCTCCCTTCCCCTTCTCTTCCCTGCCCTCCCCCTCTTTTTTTCTGCCCTTCTCCTCTCCTCTCTTCTCCTTTCCACTCATCTTCCTCCTCCTCCTCCTCCTCTTCCTCTTTCTCCGTCCTCATCTCCCTCCTCCTTTTCTTCTTCTTCTTCTTCTTCTTCTTCTTCTTCTTCTTCTTCTTCTTCTTCTTCTTCTTCTTCTTCTTCTTCTTCTTCTTCTTCTTCTCCTCCTCCTCCTCCCCCCTCCTCTTCCCCCTCTCCTCCTCCTCCCCCTCTCCTCCTCCCCCCTTCTCTCACCCGCCCCTACCCCACAACCCAGGTGCCTTGAGTCGGAGTATGACGTTTCTTTGGGAGCCTCAGCCCTGCTTAGCCGATGCCTCTGCCCATCAGCTCAGCAGCCCGCAGTTACTCTCTGCTTCGCTCTCTCTAGGTGGCAACTCGGATGGAGCGAGATGAGCGCTGTGCCTTCCACTCTCCCGCCGGCGTGTCTCAGCTCTCTGGGACTCGAGAGGAGGTGAGGGCAAGCATCGAGCCCACTCGAAAGGGCTGCCCTGAGCTCCGCGCTGCAGGTCTCCGCCTCCGCCAACGGCCTCCTTTTTCGCAGCAGGGACGCCTTTTCCCTGGCGATGCAAGGGAGCGTGTACGTCTATTTACAAACTTGTTCTGTAATGCGATGTTCCCCCCTTCAATCTCACCAACCCGGTGATCCCATCGCTTCACTTTGGTGGAGACAGACGGTGGCCCATTAGGAAGTGACCAGAGAAAGAACCCCCTGGGAGAGATGTGGTATAATCACTGCACTTTGTCTCCTTTGCTGGGTCCTGTGGTGAATCTGGACCTTTTTTTTTAAGTGCTCCTGGCTGATCACAACTTTTTACTCTTTGGTAGACGCAAGATGTACACTTGCACACGTGGTCTGATAATAACTATAGGAAGATGAACAGGAAGAAGAGAAAGATCTTGGGAACATAAAGGACTATGGGAGTCCCTATCTGACACTCTGCACCAGCTACTCTTTAAGTCTGCTCAGAGACTGGGAGCTCCCAATTGACTCCCCAAAGCAGTGAACTTCCAGCCAAGACCTTTTCCCACGAAAAAGGCAGATCCAAGATCCTCAGACCCGACTTTTAATTCTAAACGATATATCTGCAACTCAAGTTCGCCCTTTCTCTAAGATTCCATCACGGAAAGGAAGAAGGAGGAGCTGGCTCCAGAACCCCCGCTCTATAATCACTCACTCAAACCCCGAAGGTGGCCATCTGTCTCCACCGGAGTTTTCTTCTGCCTGATTTTGAGGGGTGATGTGAGCAAACGCCGGGTAGCTCAGATTGGAAAATTAGGATCCCATCCCCTCCGCGACTTGTTGGGGTGAATCAGGGTGCGCTTCCGACCTCCTATCCATACCGGATTCCCCAGCTACACCCCCGTCCTCCAACACACACACGTTTGCTGGCCAACCTCTCCAAGGGGAGACTGGGAGTTGGAGAGGCATGAGACTGGCAAAGAAAGAAAACGCTCCGGGTGGTATTGGGTTAGCACGTGGTTTCTGTAGGGACCAATGGCTGTGGACGGTCTCGTCACTTGGAGCTGGTCACCCGGCCGCCAGGGGTGGCCGGGATGAGTTGGGTGTGCAGTCCTGGACACTGAGCGTCTGTCCCAGAGCGCCAGGCTGTGGCGCCTACAGCGAGTGGGTCCCGAACTCTGGGAGCGGCGGGACCCTGGACTGTCCGTGCCCCGGCTCCCTCCGCCTTCGGGATGCTTCTGAGCCCCGTCACCTCCACCCCCTTCTCGGTCAGTGACATACTGGGACCCGAGCGCGAACCGTTTGGCGCCGAGGCCTGGCCACTCCGGGGCGCGCGAGGAAACCTGGAGAGTTCCCAGTATCTGTCCCTGAACCCCGGTCTGGCGGAGTCGGAGGCTCAGAGCGCGGGTCACAGTGGCCACGATGGCCACGGGAGCCAGGACGACGCGGAGCCCTCCGGAGGTCCCTGTGAGACAGTCCCCGACACGGACGAGGAGCGGAAAGGGGACTCCGGTGAGTGCGCGCTCGGGCTTTAGCACGTCTCCGAGGTTGGGGTGCTGAGGAGTAGTGATTGTTGGAGCGTGGTACCCCCCTTTCTTCTGGATGAGCTCCCCCCAATCCCCCCATCTGAGAAGTCCACCAGCCTTTCCAGCCCTTCGACCTCCCCTTTCCCATTGTGTTCCACGCACCCCAAGGGAAACAAGGCCCTAAAAGTGGGGGGACTCCCTATTCTCCAGCAACACACCCCCTCCGCGCTCACTGTCAGTTCCCAGAGCTCCAGCTTCTCTTTCTTCTAGCGAAACCCCACAGGCGCGGTGCCCCGCTGGGCATCTTCGCCCCCGACCGCCCCCAGGGGCTCCATCCTTGCAGCCTTTAGGCCGAGGCCATTGCGGTCTAGGGTGTGGACCGATCAACCCAGGCCGGCCTTTTCTTGGGGTTTGCTCAGTGTCCACACCAACGCCGCCATTCTGAGCCCGGAAAGTCCTCCCGAAAAGAGCTGGGGAGCACACGAGGGTCCTGGACGCTGGCGGCGGGGTCTCCGGACGGACAGGGTGGGCGCAGGCCTGGCTGGGTAGCTCCTACCACCCGAGAAGGCTCTGCGGGGGCGGCCCTACCTTCCTGCCACCCTTGATAGGACCCAGAGTCTGAATCCTGAGCCCCAGCCGCGTACCGCGGTGGGGGAACCACCTCTCCCACGCAGCGCTCAACGCGTCCGTCTCAGGCGCCGAGGTCCAAAACGTTCATTCCGAGCCGCGCGTGGCGTTTTCGCCGCCTGCTGCTGCGTAGCGTGTAGAAAGAAGCCCGAAGCAGGTTCCGCTCGCAGAGTGCTGAGAGCAGCCCGCAGCGGCGGTGGCGCTAACCTGGGCGCTTGTGAGGAGCTCGCCACTGACTTAGCAGAAAAGGGTCCCTCTCCGACGACGGCGGCGATTCCTCGTCGAGGCTTAGCCGGGGTGGCGTCTCGGTGAGGCTGCGGGGGTCGCCAAGAAGGCCCGGTCCCGTGCAAGAACTAAGGCAGCGCTCAGCGCGGAGATACTCCTACCCGCACTGCTCTGTCCCCAGTCACTCACCTCGCGTTCAAGGCTTACTAGTGTGAAAGGGGGTCACGACTAGGCCAGGATTGTACGGGAGTGAACGTGGGGGGAGAGGGGGGTTAGCTCAAGAACGAGGCCTGCGTGGGCGACCTGAATTAGGGTCCTGCTCCTTCTACAGCGTCCCTCCTGGTCAGTGGGTACTTTCTGCTTTGCTGTAAACGTTTATTTTTATTTTATTTTATTTTATTTTTTAAACCAGTCGTCAATACTTTTCCTCCAAAGAATGGTCTTGGTTTCTCTGCGATAAAGGAGGTTTCGAGGAGGTTTTGAAACTGCTAAACAGACACCCCCACCTCCCATTCCCAAGATTGTGCAGCGAGGGTAGTCCCAATCAGCTTCCAAAACGGCTCTCTGTACCTGTCAGCTCGCTGGGTAATTTGCTGTCGCGTTTCCATAGAAACTCTGCGCCTCTCCTCTACCTTCCTTGGGTTAAAACAGCATAGGCAAGATGAGAAGAAAGAAGAAAACGCTGAATCTCTGTAGACTCTGGGCACTGCAGCAACAGTTGGCAATTAGAGCCCAGTTTTCAGCCTGTTCCAAAGGCACCCACTTGGGGCTATGGGTGAGGTCACTGCCTCCTAGGGCCTCCGAAGAAAGTGGAAGTTAGGACCAACTCAATACCACCACATGCCAGAGAAACACCAGTGAAGGAAGGGTAAGGCTGCTTTCATAAAGTGAAATATGAATCTTCATACCCACCCACCCCCACCCACCCCCCAGAGAACCTCCGCCTCTGAGCCAAGAGTCAGGAATAGGGAAATACTTTGCATAGTTGTGTTTACATGTGTTTGGAAGACAGCGCCTTTAGTCTACGAAAGAGCAACAAATCCTTTAAGCCGGTAGAGCACCCGATGGCCAAAATGAAAGGGTATGTGCAATGGTGGGGTGACACTGGGAGGCACTGGAGACTCCTGATCCTGGGCCTGGACCCCAGCACCTCAAGATGGGGCCAGAAGGGATAACCCAGCAGATAAGAGCCCACAAACAAGCCACCTACCAAGCCTCCCCACACCCCTCTCACTCGAGCACACACAGTCCAAAGGTAACGAGGGCTTATGATAAGCCCCCAGCATCACACTGGATTCTAACAACAGAACTCCCCCAAACCGGGTCCACTTTGGAATCAGTATTACCGCACAGCGCCCTCCAACCCTGTAGACCCGCGTTGCCACCTAAGAAAAAAACGAAGCTGTCTCGACTCTTGACTAGAGTCATCCCCAGAGGCCCAGACTGTCACACGGGCTCAGGCGGCTCCAACACCGCCAGCACTTGCGGGGCAGGGGACACGCAGACGCATCGAGGACTGTATCAGGGGTCCAGAGTCGCAAGGGAAAGCGCGCGGGGTGTGCGTGGGGGTTCCCGGGGAGAGGCCTTGGAGCCAGGAGAACCCTGCTTGGGGTGCCCTGGGGATGGGCGCTACTGACGGTGTTCTCCCTGTGCTTTCAGAGCCCGGCCTGGGAGCGGCCCCGGCCCTCGGTGGCGGAACCCCGGTGCCAACCGGCTGCGCTGGCGACGGCGGTGACGGCCCCCAGCGGCCCCCCGCGCGGCCGCGGCGGAAGCCCCGCGTGCTCTTCTCGCAGGCGCAGGTGCTGGCGCTGGAGCGGCGCTTCAAGCAGCAGCGCTACCTGTCGGCGCCCGAGCGCGAGCACCTGGCCAGCGCGCTGCAGCTCACGTCCACGCAGGTCAAGATCTGGTTCCAGAACCGGCGCTACAAGTGCAAGCGCCAGCGCCAGGACAAGTCGCTGGAACTGGCGGGCCACCCGCTAGCGCCTCGCCGGGTGGCGGTGCCGGTGCTGGTGCGGGACGGCAGGCCCTGCCTGGGCACGGGCGCCGCGGCCTTCCCGGGTCCCTACGGGCCGCCGCCCGCGCCCTTCCCCTGCTACGGCGGCGGCTACGCGGCTGCTCCCTGCGGCGCGGGCTACGGTGGCTACGCCGGGGCGCCCCCCGGCTCGGCGCCGCCCGCGCCCCTGGCCGCCCTGGGTTTCCCGGGAGACGGCGCGAACGCCGGCCCCCAGGGCCATCTGCCAGCCACGCTGCAGGGGGTCAGGGCCTGGTAAGGCGCCGGCTGGGCTGGGGGCCCCCCTCCGGGCAGGTGCTCGGTCCCCGCAGCTCATCACCGACGGTCGCCGAGGAAATGCGCGTCTCCCGGCTCGCCCTAGGACTGCGCACAGCCTGGGAACAGCAATGCCCAGGAAGGCTCAACGCCCCTCCCCACCGCTTCTCCCCTGCCCCCATCCTGGGACGTTCTCCTCGTCGTCCCAGCGCCGTTGCCAGCCTCCCACGAAGAAGGGCGCAGGACGAAAGGCCGGGGTGGCCGGGGTGGCCGACAGTTGCGGTGCCGGAGGAGACTGGGAGCCAGCGACTTTCCAGGCCTCAGATGTAGGAGTCTGTGGGCGCTCTGGGGTGCGAGCGGCAGCCCCCCGACTTGGGCGGCGAAAGATGGGGTGAAAGGAACTCTCCAACAGATGGCAGCGGGCTGGGAGATACGGAGGAGGAGCGCAGTGAGGAAGGAAAGTGAAGGGAGTTGGAGGAACCAGGGGTCGGGAAGGAAGGAGCACTGCTGGGTGAGCCGAGCCCTGCTGAGTGTGTGTGTGTGTGTGTGTGTGTGTGTGTGTGTGTGTGTGTGTGTGAGAGAGAGAGAGAGAGAGAAAGAGAGAGAGAGACAGAGAGACAGAGAGAGAGAGAGAGAGAGAGAGACAGAGAGAGAGAGACAGAGAGAGCGCTCTAAGTGGTGCTCCCAATAGCAATTGGTGTGCTCAGTTTTTCTTCAGGAAGTATCCCCAGTATCCTGGCTCTCCCCTTCACTACTGCATGGTTGCATGTTAACTCTACACAGCTCAGCATCTCGCTCCAGTAGACACACTAAATACCTGTATTACCCAAAGGCTTTTAGGATCCATCCACTTCTGGGCTCCTCTCAACAGCTTTAAGTAAAGAATAAAACTCCAGAGCCCAGAGTTCTGAAACCTCAAAATATACAGGATTCCCTAGGTAGACAAAAGAAGGGAAGGGAGGGGAAGGATTCAACCCGTGTAGGTAGGTAACCTGCCTTCTCCCAGGCTCCTTTTCTGTCTGTCTGCAAGGTCTTTTTTTTTTTCTTCCAGAAGGCAGTTTCCAAATTTGCCCATTAGGAAATTGGGCATTCACTTATAGCCATAAATCCTAAATGAATCCAATAGAGCCTGAACTTTAGGGGAAAATGATTTCCCTCTCCAAACATACCCAAAGTCATGCAAATTCAAGATAAAAACTAATTTTAGGGAATTGAGATGAGATAGAAAATCTGTCTTTGGCTGATTGGAAAAGTTAGGCCCCCCCCCCTTTTTTTTAAACATTCTTGGATCACAGTTTAAGACAACAGAAACTTACTTCATCCCCTGTGCTAGTTTGTCAGCTTGTTAATTTCTTGCCTAGTAACTACTGTGTAATTAACTTGCTTAGTAAGTCCTAATATTTAATAAAAGATGTGCTGGCCCTGCGTTTTCTTATTTCTGAATATGCCCTGCTTGTTTTTACGCTGCAGAATAGAGCTGGTCCTATGAAAACTGCTCTGGACCTCTGAGAGCTTCTGCTTCTTAAAGTTTACATTGAAGCTTAAAAGCATCAATACATGTACCTATTCTCCTAGCTACCATTTCCTTCTATTTTCTTTCCTTTTTGTTTTCATTTTTCTCCTTTATTTCTCTATGCTCACAGTTGATAAAAGTACATTTAGAAACTCCCTATGGTGGCTTTTAGTAATAGTGTTGTGACATGAGAGTTAAATTACTTTTACTTTACTTTCAATTTGAAACCACCAGCAATAATCCCTGTTCTTTTAAACCATATATGAAACCATCAGTAATAATCCCTGCTCTTTTAAACCATATATGAAACTACATAACAGTAAAAACCATAAAGCCATCGTATAGTGCTGTCATTCTTTCCCTGCAAGAAATATTCCGAACAAGCAGCTTTGGGAGTCATCTGTGGACAGAGATCTTAGTCCACGGATCCCAAAAGGTTCCTGGGAGTTGAACTTAGGTTCAGGGCCACTGCTGAGAGTCCCAACCATCTGATCTTCCATTTTTCGTGTGTTTGGGGATTTGTTTTGTTTTGTTTTGTTTTTGCTTGCTTTGTTTCTGGGTTACACTTGACAGTGCTGGGGGCTAGTCCCACCAGCTGGCATTGAGGGAATTATTCCCAGTGGTGCTTGAGGGACCCTGCAGTGCCCGGTATAGAACCAGGACTCTCACAAGCAAAGCATGCTCATGTACTCAGCCTGAGCTCTCTGTCTTTTGTTTGTTTGTTTGGGGGCCACATCCAGTTGTGCTCAGGGCTAAGTCCTGGCTCTGTACTCAGGGATCACTTCTGGTAGGGCTCAGGGGACTATCTGGGGTGCCTGAGATTGAACCCAGGCAGGTCAACTGCTGCATTCTCTTGCTCCCTGTTCCCACCCACCAGCAATCTCTTTGGTCCTGATTCTAAGCTATTATTTGCATTGGATTTTTTCAAGATCAGGCTCAAAAATGCTCGATGTTAAAGTCCTTGCTAGCTATTCTTTGGATAAAGTCTCTAAGTCTAGAGATGTAACTCATCATCATCATCATAGATCTCTAAGTATTTGACACCAAGTAGGAACTTGACCTGTTATTTCCTCCACCTTTGCTGGGTCTTCAAACGCTGAAAAGGAAGCAAAGAAGTAATTGCCACCAGGTGTTATGAATATGCCATATGTGAGGACATACACACACACACACACACACACACATTCACCACATAGAAAGCAGAAGAAGAGAAGCCATGGTCTATGCAGACAGGGAATGGGGAAGGTGCTCAGCTTACCCACCAATAGTTTCTTCACTGTAGAGTGCTCCTGGTACAGATACTCGAAAGAATACGATCAGCTGCCTCCCTTAAAGAATGTATTATCTAATTGGATACCAGAGACTAACAGGACAAAGGCATCTAAAAATAAGAGGTGGTATATGCCGCATGTCAAATAGGACAGACAACAAGCTTGCTCTCCAGAAAGCAAAGCTCATGGGAGCTGGCTGCTAGAGGAGGCGGATTAAGCTTGGTGATTAGCGTGGGAATGACACTGCTTGCTGGGAGAGGGGCCAGGAAAGGTCTAGGACTTGATGGAGAAAAATCAATGGGCACATGCTGAAGTCAGAGGCACATTTTCTAGTGTGAGTCCAATTTAGGGCTAGCTTCTGGGAATGTGTGAAGTGCATTCAGCTGTCTCCAGGGCGGTAGGAAGCGGGGAGTGTATAGCTTTCATAGACACCCAAGACCCTTTTCGATGTTCTCCCATTGACCTGCAGCACTTTGTTTTGCCCTCAGATTGCTGTGGCATCCATAGTTTCTGATAAAACAAACAAAACCCTTGCTGCTGCATAATCCAAGTGGCTTTTTTTTCTGCAGACGAGAGACAGCACCAAGTTTGAGAACCACCAGACACTAAAAACTCTTTCTGAAAAAAGAGGAGGAAGAAAAACTCTCTTCTCTCTCTCTCTCCCCATCTGCCCATCAGAATCCCTCTCCCAGCTCCCCAAGCACACTACACGCCCCAGCTGCCCAGCTACCCTCTTGTAATCTCTCCTCAGCACTGAAAGCCCTTCCTTCTTGTGTGTGTCGCCAAGCACAGTTTATCAGTCAGGCTTCTACCAGGGAGCTGTTCTGTAAGCGATCTGCCTCTTATCTGCATGGTTCAGACCCGTCACTCCAGTCACCTCTTAATGTTCACAAGTTCCCCAAATGGGAAGTAATTGACCTCTAAACAAAACAAAAAAGCTCTCAGAGAGATAGCAGCAGTTCCTTCCCCGACTGTCTGGGGCGAAGGGGCTCACCTAGGCCAGGTGGGTAAGTCAATATAATTGCAGACTTCCTGGCTCCCCATCCTTCCTCTCCCCACCCCCACCCCCAGCCCAGCCCTGCCCCTTGGAGCCAGTTTCAGCAGATACCATCTACAGATCAGATGGTGTGCAAGTCTAGCTCTAGATTTCAGAGCTGTCAGAGGTTCCTGGTATTTTCTTCCATTTCTTCTTTTTTTTTTTTCATTATGGTGATATAACTTTGGGAGAATATTCAAGGATCTTTTAAAATTTCTTTCAGAAAAGTGTTTGCAGTCATTCTAGTTTATACCAATTTTTTAAAATATGATTTGCAGCCTGCTAATTCACCTTTTTGCTTTTTCATAAAACCTGGGAACTCCACACTTAAAAGCTGTGCTGCAAAACCTTCCCATGAAGAGACTCCTTCAAAGAGAGGGAATTGGGAAAGGAACACGGAAGTGGGGGAAACTCTCTGGGGTTCAGTCTCCTTATATGTCAATGTGAGAAGGTAGATCTTTGAGATTACCTTTCTTTTCTTTTTTTTTTCTTTTTGGGTCACACCGGGTGATGCACAGAGTTACTCCTGGCTCATGTACTCAGGAATTACCCCTGGTGGTGCTCAGAGGACCATATGGGATGCTGGGAATCGAACCTGATTCGACCCCATGCAAGGCAAACGCTCTACACTGCTGTGCTATTGCTCTGCCCCGGTAACTTTTCTAATTTGAGGTGACACCCTGTTGTTTTCAGATGCCATTTTTAAAATTGTGAGTAAGACCATGATACCAGAAGATTACACAAAATATGTATGAGCCGTTTAAAGCGTAAGTGCAAAGCAAACACAGATGTAAGTTCCTCTCCAACAAACACGGACGCCAACCCCCAGCAGCTCTGCCTACCAAGTCTCTCCCAAGATGCTCACTTCTCTCCTTCCCCAAAGGAGATACCAGCTAGTCTCATTTTTGTGATAATAATTTGCAGGCTTCTCATGGTGGAGTTCCCATATGGACGTATCCCTAAGCAATATGGTTTGATTTTGCCTGATTTTGAACATTACATAAATAGAACCATTCTGCCTGTCTTCTTCTCTGACTTGACCTCTTTTTATTTAGCTTGATGTCTGTGAGATTTAGCCATGCTGTTGTGTGTAGCTTGCTGTTTGCCCATTTGTGTGGCTTCCCTGATCCCATTAGGTACATGAATATATCTAAATGTCTTCCTGCATGTATTACTGAAAGTGGAGCTATTCCCAGCTGGGAAATACCGTAAAAATGCTGCTTTAGAGGTCAGGACAACCTTTTGGGAAGGTCAGCTTCTGGGGAACAGGTTGTCCTGACCTCTAACGACTGCTAGGACTTGCAGGGTAAGGCTCCATCCTCTGAGACAGATTTCTACTTATAGCACAATTGACAGCTATACACTAGTACACCTCTTTAACTTTTCTACAATTTCCAGTCTGTGTTCAAACATCCATCTGAGTTAAAGTGTCTATGACTGTTCCTATTCCTGCAATAAGCACCAGATAATGAGAAAAGTGAAGTCCTCCTATGAATTAGTACCAGA